AACTTGGTTCGTGTCAGAGGTGGATGCATATTTTCTGCCAGCCAGCTTTACTTGAAGGTGGGTCTTCTTGTTCGTTTTTGAAACATTTTTTTTTTCAGCTCTTGTATTATTCTGAAAAGTTTTGTGTTCACAGCAGTGTTTTAAAAATGTAAACAAATTTTAAAAACCCACATACAATTCATGTGATACGTTTGCTCTTCATGGGTGGATTGGATATAATAGTCAGGTGCCATTCCTGTGGCAATTTTAATAAAAATAGATGTGGTGTATTGATGAGAGTAGTGGAGAAGTTGTAGTCAAAGTCAGAATTTAATTTATCAGGTTGAGATTTGCTGCTGAAATTAGAACTGTTTTTATATTGAGTCCCTGGTCTGGAATTCAATTCCAGACCAATTCCAATTTCTAGTCATTTCAAATTCCAATTTCTAGTATTTTTTAATAGATATGTTTTGTAGATGTAATCCATCTTCAGTTTGGGAGAGTCTAAAATGAATCAGGTCCCAGTTAAAAATGTGATGTCTGTCTTAAAATACCTCCCAAAAAGTAGTTGGGGATACCTGACTGTTTCCTGTCCCCCATGCCAGCGAGGTGCTGCTGTGACACCCTGGGCAGTGCCCAGCTCTGTGCCCCACCTCTGTCACTCACACATTTTATGAAAAATCCTTTCCTTTGGATTTTTCCTCCTGAGAAGCTGAGAGGCCTCAGGAACAAAATGTAAGCAATGATTATCTGCTGCTGTGGAATGCAACAGGTGCATCTGGGATTGGTCTCATGTGGTTGTTTCTAATTAATGGCCAATCACAGTCAGCTGGCTCGGACTCTGTCTGAGACACAAGCTCTCCTCTCCTCTCCTCTCCTCTCCTCTCCTCTCCTCTCCTCTCCTCTCCTCTCCTCTCCTCTCCTCTCTCTTTCTATTCTTAGCCAGCCTTCTGATGAAATCCTTTCTTCTATTCTTTTAGTATAGCTTTAATATAATATATGCGATAATAAATCAGCCTTCTGAAACATGGAGGCAAATCCTCATCTCTTCCCTCATCTGTGAACATGGTCATTCGTGTCCTTCCCAGCCATGCTGTCCTCACCAGGCTCTTGGCAGCTGGGTGCCCACACACAAATGGTTGTTCCCTGGTCCCTCTTCCAGCCCTGAGCCATCTGTGCTGGGGACAGAGGGACACAGGGACACTGAGCACTCCTCAGGGCGTGCTGTGCAGGTTTCCCTTGCCCTCCTGCTCCCAGTTGGCTGTGCAGGTGTTGAGGACCACATGGAATATCTTTGGTTTAGGTGTTCATATTTGGGGTGGCTGGCCAGTGGTGGGTGGGATGTACACATTGGTGGCAGGAACTGGGGAGGTGGAATGGCACCGTCCTTGTGGAGTGACTTTTGGATCTGCACCACATTTGTATCTCGAAATGTCAGAGAGACTTCTGTGTGGTTTTGACAGGAGGCCCTTGGCTCTGGCAGCTTCCTGGCCTTTTGGCCTCGCCGTGGGTTTGTTTGTTCAGGCTGTTCCTGGGTAAGCAATCTGGCTGCTCTGGCTCGTCTCTTTTGGAGTTAGCTTTTTTTGAACATTAATTAGATTTAGTTTGTTTAACATAAATGGTGGGTGCGGTGGTGAGTTCATCCTGAGATTTGGAATCTGTATCTCAATCTAATTAAAACCAGCCTGAAATAGCATGAAAAGTTACATTCAAAAAGTTGGCTCAGGTGTTTTGGACTATCTTACTCTTCTGTGTTTTATTGCTCTTTCTCTGGAAGGACAACAGAATCCATAAAGAACACCAACTGAAGGCAAACTTTTGCCAGTTTTTGAAGTTGATGTCAGAACCTTTTTTAAAGCATTGCTTCCTCTGCTCAGTTTCTTGTGTTGATTCAGGGAAAAAGTTGACTTCTTTTATAGCAGGGTAATCCCAAACAGGACAGATGGGGGATTGGACTCCTCATGCTGGTCCAAAACAAACTGGGGGGTACCAAATTCCACTTGTCTGAAAGTCCTGCCTGTTTATTCGTATCTCTTGTGACTGGTGGAGTTAGGAAAAAGCATTTTTCTGGGAAGTACCCAAGCAAAAATATTTGGATGCTACATTTAAAAAAATTAGTGAGTAGATTTGCATTTGCTCTCATTTTCCTTCAATTTATGTTTCCTCTATGCAAATGTGGCCATTTTTAGAGGAGCTTGTGCAGCTGATTTTCTGGAAATTCAAACAGTCCAAACTCATAGCAGTTCCTTAACTCTGGCATTAACTCCTTGAAGTGAGAATGCAAACAGCATGCTGGGCTTTTCCAGTGGTGTTTTGCCAAGCAGGGTGGTGGAGCTGGGTATATATTATATATTATATATTATATATTATATATTATATATTATATATTATATATTATATATTATATATTATATATATTATGTATTATATATTTATATAATTATATATATTATATATTAGTGTTTGATAGTACCTGAACAGCACTGTTTGGTTTTGATTACATAAAGGAAGCACTAAAATACCTTTTGGTGTGGTATGCTATCTTTTTTGGTAATTCCTTCACTTGGTTTCTGTGAGTATTTCTGTTTCCACAAAATGAAGTACAAGCTTAAGGTTATATTTTGGGTGATAACATGCTGTTCCTGTATCACTAGAAGGAAACCCTTGGTTACTTTCCCCCCTAAGGTGGCAGAGGTAGATTGGGCTGAAGTCCCTGCAGTTCAGAGTGGAGCCCTCACATTTAGGGCACACACCAAGAGCAGTGGGGAAGGGAAGGGAGAGCGTGGGAACCCTCTGTGCTTCACTTTTTCAGGGAAAGATGCAAAAGGAGGAATGTTTGTTTTGTATGTAGCATGTCAGAGAGCTCATTACAGAGTTTCAGACGTGGTATTCAGACACATGTCTGCTGTAGAGGCGTGCAGCTTTCCTCTCTCTGAATAAATATCAGCTGAAGAGACAAGCTGTCCTCTTTAAGATTCTGTGTAGGTTTTATTACAAGGGAATTTTGAAGCTGAAGAACTGAGTAAGTACCTGCAAGTTTGACTACAAACTAGAAACACAATGGTTTGTCATTTTTTTTATAGCTGTAGAAAATATGAAGCCACCATTATTTTCCTATCCTTTGCATTTATGTTCTTTTAGGATGCAGCAGATTTATGTAATGGCTAAATATCTGACCATTCCAAATGAATTCAGTGTGTTTGATCCTGAAAGGCTCTGTATGTAATCACAAGCACTGAGCTGAGGTGCATCTCTGATAATCTCATCTAAATCAGTACCCTGGAGCTTGAAAACCCTTCCTTCTTAGCTTTTTCTTTCATGATCATTTCTTAAGTTCCTCTGCAATGAGAAATTTCATGTCTACTTAGGAAAAACAATCATTAATTTACTTACATGTTGCATTTAAATTAACCAACTCTCTTATTCCTTCTACATTTGTATGCAATCAAGGAAACCAATTTAATCATGCTCTCCACTGTAAGCCACCATAACTTGTCAAACAAGGAGAAATTTCAGCTATGCTTGTGATATCAAGACATCTTAGAAATTTATGGTTTTAATGAGTGTCTTTCATTTTGACACATTCAGTGTGAATATTGGGAGAAGTAGTTAGGGAGGTAAGTAGTCAGCTTGGAGTACTTTAAGGATACTGAAGTGAATATGGGAGTTTCTCGGAGTTTTAGGTTTTCAGAAGTGCCAATAAGAAGAATATTTGCTCAAGATCTCTGAAGCAGAACCATCTGCATTAATGATTTCCTGAAAAACTTGTGTCCTGTTTTATTGGGAGTGAAACTGGCCAGGTTTGGATGTTTTGTCCTGCTGTGTCCTGCCTTCTTTATCTGTGGGATGCTTGTATCCTACAGATGTGCCAAAATGGGAATGAAGGAATGAATGAATATTCTGTGTGTTCAGACAGATGGAAATAAGAAATTCTTCCCCAACCATTCTGACAATATTACTACAGATTTCATTGCTCAAATATAATAGCTAAAGGAACATTTTGTTGTTAAAGGGTTCCTGGATTGTTCTTCCAAGTGCCTGGGACATTGCAATTGCTGCAGTAAGGAAAGGGATGTCCTTGTTTGATAGAATCAAGTGGGGTGTGTGGGAAAGGGAGAGAGTGGCCTGAAGTGTGACTGGAGCTAGGACTGGGCAGACTGATGGCAGAGTTGGATCCTTCTGATGTTTCCTGGCACAGTGTGAGTGTCTGGTGTTGAGCACCTCGTGCTCCATCTCATCCCTGTCCCACTGCCTAGGCTCTGCTCACCTTCTGCAGGTGCCCTGAGGAGCTCTTGGCTCTCCAGCTGCACCAGGGTGTGCCAGCAGGAGCAGGGCAGTACAGAAGTTGTATTTCCTCCCTACTTTGATGTGCTGAGAGTGTTGTTTAGAGCAGTCAGGTTCCTAGGCAGTTGTGCCTCGTGTACCACCTTGTGAATGAGAGGTGCTGCCTGCCCATCACACTGGAATGGGACATGAATGTGGTATTTCTCAGCTAATCTCAGGTAGGATTAATCTGCCTGCTAATCTCAGGCAGATTGGTCTGTTGTTGTACTAAATAAAAAACTAGGAACTTGTATCTGTTGACTTAGTAAACTATTAGAATAAATGGGAAGTTCTGCGATAAATTATGGTGAATGAAAAAAAGTTTTAACTGATTTAATTTTTAAATTATTTTTAAAGAATGAGATTAGAAAATGTGATTAACTTCCCTTGAGCTCTGCAGTAGTAACCTTTCGCTGTTCTTAACTGTGCAGGACTTGCACTGGGGATTAAGCAGACTCTTAAGTTTTACAGCCTACAATGAAAGAATTAACAAGAAAATATCCCAGTGTTGAGTTTAGCCACAGGATGACTCTGACTTCTCACAGCCTTTTAAACTCAGTGCAGCTCTCCCCCTTTGGATCTTGGGTGTTGCTGACAGTGTGTGCCCAGAGATGTGAACTGGGACACTGCAGGAGTTAAACTTTCAAACCTTCTCATTGTTCTCTGATGTATAACTTTTTTTTTTTTTTCCTTCACAGGAAATGACCTAGAGGCCTTACAAATACATTTGTGCATTTTTGTTCTGAGTCTGCAATCGAGGGCAAACGCAGTCTGGAAGCACCACTTGTTAAAGTTACAACGGAAACAACTACCTCAACACACAGGGAAAGGGGAGGAAGGCTTGCAATAACAAACACTCTAGTTTTTAATAGCTTATACTTGCAAAGTCTTCTGTAAACAGTCCAGATTTTTTTTCCCCCCTCCAATATTAAGAAGAGACACTACAAGTAAACTGAGTTGGCAGACTGGATCTGTCAAGACATTTGAAGATATTTGATCTGCTGACATAAGGATTTGCTTTTTCAAGGAAAGAGCCTCTGCACTGCTTTTATAATCGCTGTTGATCGGTGGTTTGCTCCACTTTTCCTGATGCTACTAATGGGAGAATTGTATTAAGGTATTGCTTCTAAAACTATTACTTGCATTGACAAAATTAACTTTTGTAGATGCAGCAGCAAGGGACAATGTTGCTCTCCTGAAGAACTTGTAGGCGATCACTTCTCTGCTCCAGTTGGCTTTTCTGCCTGCAGAGGGGATACCACACAGGGGACAGAGCAGTACTGAGACACTTGGGCTTTGCTTTTTGAGTACAGTTTCTAACTGCAGCAGGGCTGCACCCAGCATTGAAACCACGGAGTCAGCAGATGTGCTGCCGTTCCCAGTGCTGATACAGATTATACAGACGCTTGCCTTTCTGAAATGCCTTTTGTGAAACCTATGTACACAGTCCTGCGCCGTTACTGTACATAGATCCCGAGGAAGGAATCTGACAAGTGATTGTGAATTGGAGAACTCTCTGGCCAAGCACTCACTTATGTATTGCTGCAGTGCACAAGAAAGCAAAATGGACTACAAGCGGCGCTTCTTGCTTGGCGGGTCCAAGCAGAAGGTGCAGCAACACCAGCAGTACCAAATGCCCGAGCTGGGCAGGACCCTGAGCGCCCCGCTGGCGTCCCCCAGCACCCCCCTGGTGTCCCCAGCTGCTGCTGGCGGCTGCTCCCACCCCGCCTCCCACACCACTCCCATCGCTGACATCCAGCAGGGAATCTCCAAGTACCTGGATGCGCTCAACGTCTTCTGCCGAACGAGCACTTTCCTCACGGACCTTTTCAGCGGCGTGTTCAGGAACTCGCACTACTCCAAGGCAGCTATGCAACTGAAAGACGTGCAGGAACATGTCATGGAAGCGGCCAGTCGACTCACAGCAGCAATAAAACCAGAAATAGCAAAAATGCTGATGGAACTGAGTGCAGGAGCTGCGAACTTCAAAGATCAAAAAGAGTTCAGCCTACAAGACATTGAGGTAGGTTATCTTGGAGGATTCAGTTTGGCATGTGAATGTGTATCGTGCCTTCTTAACTGAATTTCTCTTCAAAATCCCTTCTATGCCAAAACTTTTCTCCACCTTGCTGTGTATTTGTGGGAAAAGAGTTTCTTTTCCCACCAGAATCACATATGGATGATGCTGGTGGGAAAAGAAACTCTTAATTTCTTACATACTGATAAAGTACCAAGTCATTTATGAGATCTGACCTCCATCTATGTTAATTAGGTATTTAATAGGTATTTCTGTAGAAGAACCAACTACACAAAAGTTTTAAACCATTTTCTAGTTTATGTTAGCCAATGTTTCTAAAACTGTTATGTCATCATATTCTGAATCAGCCTACACTTCCCTCAGAGTGGATAATACCAAGGAGAAACCTGAGCACATGGGAGTAGCATGTTGTCATCAGTGTTTCAGTGAAACTACGTATTCATTGATTAAAGAGTGATTTTATCACTCTTTAGAACATTTTTATATTTTTGAGGTGTTGTGAGAGGAAAATAACACACTGTGTGAGATACTAGTGCTGTAAAATTTGTTATGACTTTGCTGCAATGTTCCTATGCTGGCAATGAGCACCCAAGAGTCAGGATTCAGAGGATCCCCAGCTTCCTGCTATGCCTGCCTGGGAAAGTCTGGATATTTCTCCTCCACTAAATGTGTTGCCTAGCAGGCAGTGCCAAGTGATAGTCACAGATAAATCCCTGCAGTTTTAAGCAGCTCCTTGTGTTTTGACATACTTCTTCACTTTGCAGCAATCTGCAGAGTTATTCCTTCAGAACTGCATCCTGAATGGAAAACCTACTTTAAGTTCTCTTGGTTTTGATTCAGGTTTCAGGTGGCTTTGTCAGAGTGAATGTTTGTGCCTGTCAGGCACTATCTGCTTTCTCTAGCTGCACCACTTCAGATGGAGTCCTTAGGGAGGGTGCAGTTTGTCAGTCAGCTCTGCCTGCAGTTGTGTACTACAGTTCTCAGTGTTGGATGCTTGGTGTAGAATGAACTAAGATATATATGTGTTATAAATGTCTTCTGAAGGGTAATATTTTTAAAGACAATCCCATAATGTCACTCTTTAAAGCTATAGCAATGTATATAAAAAAGAGTGAGTTTATGTAATTAATCAATCTTCATAATAGATGTACTGAGAGACTTTCTGAATTAAAAAAAGCAAAAACAGATGAAGCACCTGATGTGTTCTAGGGGTTTTTGTGGGGTTGGAAACGCTGTCCTTCCCAGTGTTGGAGCCTCAGCAGAGCTGCTTTTGCCACATGGGCAGGCTGAGGTGCTGCTGGCTGTGCCCAGGGAGGGTTTGCTCAGCAGGGAGCTGAGGAGCAGAGCAGAGTTTGTGCCAGGTGGGTGCCATCCTGCCAGCCTAAAGGCACAGAAGCTTCCTTAGGTCCCAGCTTTACCTGGCCAGGCCTAACCCCTGTTCTGGGCCCTGCCCTGCAGTGCTCCCTCCCTGCCCAGAGCTCCCTGGCGAGCAGAGCAGCTGCCCCTGGGCCTTCTGCTGCACCTCTGGGGCTGCCCCAGCCCTTCTCATCACACCTTCCTGCTGTCTTTTCTTAATTAAAACTGCATCTTGCACGTGGCTTTGAAAAAAGTCAAAATGTGAGATTTTTGGGTAATTCTGTATGAGATCAGTGTTGTGCTCTGCTTTGGCTTTAGCAGCAGCAGAGAGTAGGGGTTTGACAGAGACTCCTGTGGTTGTTGTGTGGGTCCCTCAGGGCTGTGGGTGGGTGAATTCTGGAGCACAGGGGTTGGGTGGCTGTGCCCAGGGAGCAGCAGCTGCTCACTGCTGGAATGGACCTTGGCAGAGGCCAGTACAGGAATGTATTTGTTTGTAGGTGACTTGAAAGCACAGGATACAAGTGTGCTGGGAGACCTGCTGAACTAAAAATAATCTTGGCCAAGTGAGTTTTGCAGTTGGGATGGAATTCAGAGGGGAAAGATGAATGTTGCAATGTTTAAATGGACATTTTCAGCCTCAGGAGTGGAGCCCAGTGGGCAGCAGGTCTGGAGAGCAGTCCCAGGGCTCGTGGGAGTCATGTGTTGGGGAAGAGTCAGTGTTGTGCACTTGGAAGTAATAAATCACTGCTGCTGTTGTGCAAAGTGACATTTACCATGTATTTAACACACCCTAACCTCAAACACAGCAGTGCAGGTGCACAGCACTGCTGGAGAAACAGGGAGCCAGAGGAGTGGAGCAAGAGTGGTCAGACATGCAGGAAATAAGGACAGATTGAAAAGATGGACTCTGCAGAAGAGAGGCTGAGAAGGAAAATCAAAAGTGCTCAGGTATGTGAGAAGCTGCCAGAACATGTCAGTGTCTGTTCTTCATGTCCATGTGAGGTGGAGCGAGGAACTTAAATTTCAGAGGGAAAGATTCCCATTAGATTTCCAGCTGTGGAAATCCTTTGTGATGTTAGTGGAGCGCTGATGTGGATTGCTGCAAAGGGTAGGGAGCAGAGCTGACAGAACAGGTTAAACCTGCCTCTGGCAAAACTGACCCAGGTGAAATTTCTCCTTGCTAGGGACAGAAGGGTGACCTGGTGAGATCCTCTCCCACTGAGCTTTTCTGGAATTTGAAAACTCAGCTGTTGATGCTGAAATTTCAATTTAAAAAGTGGTTTGCTTTTTTTCCCCCTGGTGGATAGAGAAGTTAACATTTCATAAAACTGCCAGCAGGATTAAAAAACTCACAATGTAAGCAGAAAAACATAAAGGGTTTGCCTGACTTCATCAGAGTTTACTGAGCAGGGAAGTGATGGGGGAAGAGTGGGAGGCAGTGGAATTGTTCCCTGGAAAATACCAGGAGGGAGTACAGGTGTATCTGAAGTTGCTTTGTCAGCTTCCCTGTGGGTGTCTGAAAGAATTCACAGCTCTGAGAGAGAACTGGGAGGTGGTGAAAGCCCTGAGGGGCAGCAGGAGCCTCAGCAAGACCCTGGATGGTGTCACAGGAACAGGGAGCTGAGCTGTGTTCAGGGTGCACTGGGGCACAGCCCCAAATTCATGAGAAGGACCTGACAATGAGGATTTCTATGTGTGAACCCAGCTAGGGAAAATGCAGTTTTCCTAAACCTGGCTTAACACAGGCTGTAGGTTTTGGGAGGAATGAGAAGCCCAAGCAGAGCAGGTTTGACTTCAGGAATCAGGCAGAGCTGTGGCTTTCCTCAGGTGTTTTATCTGCTGTAGTGGGCTCTGCCCCAGGAAGGGCAATATCAAGAGAACTTAAGTTTTGGTGAACAAAACTGACTTGAGTTTGGACTGGAAACTCTTGTGCACCCTGGACTATAGCACCACAGGATGAGGTTTTTAATTTATTTATTTATTGTTACTTAGAACAAAGCTTGCTGGTTCAGAACTGCCTGCCAGGCTGTGTAAGGGGGTGACTCCTCTTTATCAAAGTGCGGTGCCAGATGGAGTTTCCCAAGGTTTCTTCATTTCAGAAATGCAAATGCTGGTTTTTATTTTCTTCTTTTTCTCTTCTCCTTTCAAACACCTTTGAGTTCTTGTGTATTCTGTGCCTGTGTGGGTGAGGAACAGCTTGGAAATCGGGGTAAATGAGAGGGTGTTTTCCAGATCTGTTTGTCAGCTGGGGGAATGCAGTGACTCTCTATTTCTATTAATAAAAGCATTAAAGCAAATCCATAGGGAGGAGCAAAGCTGGTAAAAGTAAGTGTATTTCCCCATCTCTTATGAAGTTTTGCAGAAGTCTCAGTGCTGCAAAATATAAAGAATTACTTTTAGTTACCCAGGGCTTGTGTATTGTCTTAGAAGTGGCAGTAATGAGAGGAATGTCCCCATTGCCTTCCTGTACAAAAGGGAAGCATGGATGGGCACCTGGTATATTCTTGGATGCTCTGTTTTGTATTAAATTCAGATAATTTTTGGCTTTTATGTGTAAAAAATAGCCTAAGATTTTTTGAACAAGAATATTGTGAGACAAAAATATCTGAGTAAATATTAAATGTAGGCTTTCCTTAGCAAACATTGTAAAACTAAATTTAACTGTTTTTTAAAATTATTCTTTCCTGGGATTTTCAGGGATTGGCTCCAGACTCTTTTGTGTTGAGGAGCTGTTGGTAGCAAAAAAATATCTTGTCTTACATTTTAATTGCTGCTTTTTATTTTTAAAATGTTTCACACTTAATTGTTTTTCTGCTAAATTATAGTGACCACTTCAGTAGCTGTCAAGATCAGATCATCATGAGTGGATTTTAGGAGAAATGAGTCTGTTGGGTTTCCCAAGTCTTGCAGCTTCTGCTGGATTCCTGTTCAGCCTGCAGGTGATTCCAGCCCATGGGCAGGACTGAGCCTTCCCTTGAAGGTGTTCTGTTCATGAGATCCCTCTTTGGAACTGCTGGGTAGTGAAAATGAATAATATTCTGTAAAAATGAATAATATTCTGTAAAAATGAATAATATTCTGTAGTAATAATGAATAATATTCTGCCCACTTCTGGTAATGTACAGGAAGGTTGTTGGCTCATAATGGGGCACACCAGTTCAGTGGCAGCCAGGCTGTGCCACCAAGGACATTCAGGGGAAGCCACTGAATAATTCTGTTGTGGTGTTTGGCTTTTTGAGAATTCTTGTTTAAGGAAATAGCAAAAAAAAAAAAAAAAGGGAAAAAAGAAGAGAATTTTACTGCCTCAAATGGCACTTGTGTTTGTATCAAGTGTGGGGGACTGACACCTGCTATTTGCTGCTTTATTACTGGTGGTGTTCTCTTGTAAGGAATCTGTTGTGCAAGATTTTCTTGCCAGGCAGTTTGTATGGCATCCATGTTTGCAATAAACCTGGCAATGTTGTGTGCACTTTGTCCAGTGCAATATTCCAAAGTTGACTGTGTGTCCCCATTAGGAGAATCAAGTGGGACAGAGCAACACTAACCCCTCATCTCTGGTGCTCCCAATGGTGGGGAACCAAAATCCCATTGCTTCCAACTGCAGGAGGAGGGAGATTCCTGCAGGTGAGGCAGTGCTGGGACAAAAGCTGCCCAAAGCTGTCCTGGCTGACTCAGGTCAGGGAAGTGAAGGTGCTGGAGCTGAGCCCTGTGGGACAAAAAGTTTGGAAGCTGAAGACCTCGTGATGGAACAGAAATGAATGTAAGAAATGAAGGGAACATCACCACTCCCAGGGAATCTCAGTGGGTGACACCTGAGGCGATTCCAGCACAGTTTGGAGGGTTTGTGTTTGTTCTGCTCTGAAGGAGGACAGTCTCACACTCCTGCATGGCAAGTGGGGCAAATAAACTTGAAGAAGCCCTGGTGGTGTTTGTAACGGTGGAGAGCTGCATCCATGTGCTGGTCAGGGGTGTGCAGAGGTTCCTGTGTGCTCTCACAGGGACCATGCCCAGCCCTGGTGGGGAGGATGGATAGGCAAAGTTGGGGCTCTTTGGTGGAAAATCTGACCCAGTGAGATCTTTCCAGCTTTAAAATGAATTTGGCATCTACCATCCTTCCAAAGGGAATGTTTAACAGTGCAAAACTCCTCCACCACTTTGGTAGTGAAGCATTTTAAACCACCCTTACTCGTTTTGGAGGAAGGCTGAAATGGATTTTTTTCAAACAAAATAAAAGTTCAGTAAAGCAGATGTTCTTAGTTATCTCCACTGTTTAACATTGTAAGTTATAAGTAGGAATGTTGTGTGCTGCCACTTAAAACCTAAATAATTTGTTTATTTTGAGCATTATTCCCAGGCTGGGGGAGCTTCAACCTTTGTACCTTAAATATTCTTTGAAATTTAATCAGCTTGAAATTCCTAATGAGTGCTAGTTTCATCTTCCCCTGAGAATTGCATTCTTCCTACACAGAAATAATTCACATCACCAGTTGCCTCTTCCTGCACTTTTCTTGTAAATCTTTCTAATCTCATACCCAGGAAAGTTGGAGTTTTCTTTATTTTATCATTTGCTGACTGTTTTCTTTAATAAGGCAAGCTCCCCTTTCAGAGGTCAGTCAAAGTACCAAAAATGTTTAATTTTATGCCTTGTACAAAGAAGGGAAGTGATGGAACCAGAATGGAATGTCAAAAGGAGTCTGGATGCAGTGGAAAAAAGCATTGCCACCACTGGTTGTGCTGAAGGAGATAGTAAATGCAAATAACTGGTGCTGTGACTGCAGAGTCCTGCCAGGAACATACATTGGGTCTGAATAGTTTTATTCCAGAAGAATGTAGCTGAAAATAAGGCAGATGATTTAATGGCTCCAAGGCAGCATGGCTTTGTACATTATCTGTGTATTTTGTGAATTATTCCTAAAATGGAATTCAAGTGAAGTCTTTTTTTAATAAATCAAAGTCAAATGCACATTTTAAAGGCTTTGTGTGATGAACTCCATAAAAGAAACACTTTGAAATTCTTGTTTTGTTGTTGCTGTTTTGGGTTTTTAACAGAAATTCAGCCAGGGCTTTGTGCAGGTGGTTTTTGGTGTTGAATTGATCCTTGTGATAATATGCTATTCCCATTTTTGTGCGGATTTTGCCAAGTAACTGAGCAAGCCTTTCATTCCTCAAGTAGTCAGAACTTGAGTACAGAACTAAAAATGACTCAGAATTATTCTGGTGTCCCCTTCATTCATAGAAACGAATGCTCACTTATTACTTTAAGTAAATGGTTAAACATCATACCATATGATCTGAAGTATTATTTTAATTTAAAAAATCGGGGTTTAGCGCAGTTCCTTACCCCAAACACCAAACAAAAAGCAAGAAGGGAAGCTTCCATGATCTCTTCCATGTGCTTGAAGTGGTTTGTTTGTCCCCACAGGTTCTTGGGCGATGTTTCTTGACGGTGATGCAGGTCCACTTCCAGTTCCTGTCGCAGGCTCTGCAGAAGGTGCAGCCAGTGGCTCACTCCTGCTTTGCTGAGGCTGTGGCTCAGGAGAGGAAGAACATCAGTGGGACTGGAGCCTCAAATATCAGCCCCACAAATGAGCTGGAAGACGCAATAAGATCCTGGAGAGGAGCAGCAGAGGTATGGAGGGCTTGCTGTAAGCACAGGGGATTTAGGGAAACCAAAAGTCAGCCTGGGTGTCCAAACAGAGGGAAAAATACCTGATTTTAAAGACAGGCTGCATCTGGAGGGGGGAATGTGACACAGTTGGTTTCAGACAGTAAAACTCATTTTACTCATGTGATGACTGCACTGTCTTTGCCCTGTGTAAAGTTTTCTTTGTGACAGGGCTGTACACAAGGAGCACACACACAGTGCAAACAGATTTTTGTTATTAGTAATTAGTAATGAACTACCAGTGTTCAAATAGGGCAGACAGAGAGAATTAAAAACCTCAACAAGTCTTTGTGAAAACAGAGCAAAATCTTGATGAAAAATTATCTAGATAATCTGTTTCTCTCAAATTTTGAGCACAAATTCTGTTCTATATTTTAAAATCTTTGTGGTAATTTTTAACACTTCTGTCTTCATGCTAAGCTTGATGTTGCTTGATCCATCCATTGTTGGGATGTGACCATGTTACTGAACTGTGCCACTCTCTGGACCTGTGCCTTCACAAACACCTGTCCTCTGTGGAATCCTTGCTTTGCCAGCCCAAACCAGGACTTTATAAAGACATTCAGTTTTCTGAGGTTTTCTGCTGTCCCTGGCACTGCTGAGACCTGGGGACTGATAGATAGAATGGACTCGGCACAGAGTGTGTGTTTTCCCCAAATCCAGATCCCTTGGAGCATGTGCTTGTGCAGTCTCATTTGGCCCACATGGTTTGTTACTCATCCTGAGCAGAAATCTTGTCAAGGTCTCCATTTCTCACTGACATCTGCAAGGTACAGGAAAGCAAATGAATTACATGGATGCAGAGGGATTATTTGTGATTTTTACTGCAGCATAAATTTATTTCACTGGGTAAAATGGGGATTTGGGAGTGCTTTAGGTGTATTGCAGATAATTGTAACAGGTCTAATCCTGGTACAGCTGTACTTCTTTGGCATAAAAGTAATTAATTTTATGTGTAATATACTTAGCTTCTTGAAACTACTACAGTTTTTAGAAATGCCCTGCAATTGCTATCAAATTTATTTTAACTGTGGTTAAAATTAAATTTGTCTTCACAGAATCAAGGGCCTTAACTTTATTTTTTACCTTTTGAGCATCCCACTTCACCTATTTCTGTTTTTCACAAATACAAAACCTGTATTTCAAAATAGTTTTGTACAAGTATTGTACTAATTAAATCCTGTATTAAACATATATGGGGAGGAGAGAGATAAAATACAGATTCTCACAGTTCCAGAATAACAATGGAAGAAATTTCTCAAGTTTTGATTGACTGAAATGACTGATTTGGAGTATTTGTGTAGGGTATCAGGATAGCATAAGAAAAATATGTGGTTTCTAAACATATAAAATCTCTCTCTCTCATAATTAGATAGACTAATAGAAATAATTTTAGTAGAAGGAGGATTTGAAATACTGAAATCTTTGCCAATTTTTTCCTTTGGAGTGGAAGGCAATGCACTGTTTTCCTATAAAATCAGCCTCTTTGGCAGGAGGGCACTGCTGCTCCAGAGTGAAGTTTAAGGTGATGCTTTGTCAGTAGCTCAGAACTAATTGTGCTCCTTCAGGTTGACTTTGGGAAATGCAGTAATTCTGTCTGTCAGGTGAGCCCCTGTCTGTCCATTGGCTGTGGTACCAGAAGCCCCCAGTTTGGACATCTTGCTTTAGAGGAAGTCTCTCCTTCCTAGACTGGAAAATAACTCACATCTGTCTGCTTTACCCTGCTCAGTGATGTATGATATTACAGCTAAAAGTAGATATTTGGCTTATGTCTTGTTTTTCACAATGATACTACACAAAGCTATTTTTTTGCTGTGCTAAGTTGATTTTAGCATTGTGTGGCACTTCTCAAATTGCACCACAGTAATCACCCAAACTTTATGAAATGTGTCATCCTGTGAGCACAGGAGTGCTTGTAGACATGATTTAACATATTTCTGTTTGTGTTGGAGTTACAAGTCTGTCCTCATGGTGTGGGCTGTGTAACAGGATCCTGGGCCTGACAGGGAGCTGAAATAGTAACAGAAACAATGCAGAGCCCAAGTGCTTGCAGCACCCTGTGCTGTGCAGGTTCCATCAGTTCTGCTTCCACAGTGGCAGTAGAAGTGAATAAGTTATAATAAAGTCTCCTCCAAGTCCTCTCCCCCAGGTGCTGCTTTCATCTCCTGTAGAAGATTTTAAAGTCTGTGTGGTTTTTTTGTTCTTTTTTGAAATTTAATTAAGCCTGACCTGGTTTAGTGCTGACCCTCCTCACCCTGGGTTTTTATTTTCCATTGCAGGCCACATCTCGACTGCGAGAAAGAGGCTGTGATGGATGCTTGGCAGGAATTGAAGTTCAGCAGCTTTTCTGCTCACAGACTGTGGCCATCCCTGAACATCAGCTCAAAGAGCTAAACATGAAAATTGACAGTGCTTTGCAGGTGGTTTTTCAAGTCTGCTGCTTTCATGTGCATGTGGTGCGGTCAGTGGGTCAAGGAGTGCAATAGGGGAGGAGTGTGCTCCTGCAGAATTGTGCACAGGCAGCTCAGAGGTGTTTGGGAGCTGCAGCTTTGGAGTGTGGCATGATAAATGTGTGTGTGCCATAGATCTGAGAGGGGTGAATCCTTGTACCCAACACAGTGGCTGTGCTTCCTTCCTTGCTGACACACCTGTGCTGTCTCAATTTCTGTTCCATGGCAGGCCTACAAGGTGGCTCTGGAGAGCTTGGGTCACTGTGAATATGCAATGAAGGCTGGCTTCCACTTGAACCCAAAAGCAATTGAAGCAAGTCTGCAGGTAGAATCTGCTAAACCTGCTCTCTTTCATCCCTCCTCACCTTGAAAAATTCACAAACATTTGGGCCCATGGTAGCGTTTTCTGATGTCTTCATTTCTTCTGTTGGATGTGTTCTGCCCTGCAGGGCTGCTGCAGTGAGGCTGAAGCTCAGCAAACAGGAAGGAGACAAACTCCACCTCAGCCCATCCAGTGTGAGCTGCCCACTGTCCCTGTGCAGATTGGATCCCATTTTCTGAAAGGAATCTCCTTCAATGAGTCTGCAGCAGAAAACCTGAAGCTGAAAACGGTAATAACTCCTAATTAACCACACAAATAAAGATGGGGGGAGAAAGTAGAGTTCATTAAAATGTAGAGAACAACTGTAATAGGAATTCCTTGCCAAACCTGTGTTTAAAAATGCTTTTTTTCAGCCTGGCTTCCTGTGGAAACAGGATGTTGATAACATTGTAGGGCTACACCTGTTTGTGATAACATTTTGACCACCTGAGCAATTTTGGTCAAATATGAGAGAAGCACAGGCATAACAGGCAGAGAGATCTAGGATGCAGTGAAGCTTCTGGGAACTTTTTGGAAAGAGATGTGTTAGCTATGAAGAAATACAGAGGAAAGTGAGCCCTTACAGATTCCCCAGCCAGTGATGCATATCAGAGCCTTCATCTGCTTAGGTGCACAAGTCAGCCCAGCCTGGTACTGAGGGAGGTACTTGAAAAAAAATCTGCTTTGTAACAGAGCTCCTTTTGATGTCATCCTACAAACTGGAATCAATTTTTTAATAGAATTTTAAATTATGGAGAAGTTAATTGTATTTTCAGAATAAACAAACGGAAAATAAACAAATGGAAAAATTATTCAGAAGTAATTTGGGCAATTTTAATCAGCACTTTCACTTTTTTTAGATAAACCCAGTTCCTTGCTCCTGAAAGAGTTAAATAGCAAGTTATATTAAGAAATACTCTAATAAGAAATAATCTAATAAGAAATAATAAGTGCTCAAAATGGTGCTTTTCTGTTGTCTTTGCAATGCGTTTTGTAGTTTTGATTAAACTGGTTTGCAGGAATATGAGCAGAAATACTGTTTATGATTTTGGAGCAGTGTTGTGTTCCCAGGAGCAGAGACAATCTTCCATATTTCTGTTCTGCAGTGGAACTCTCCTGTTATATAAAGAGGTTGCAGACATGATAGCAGTTTGAGAAGATGTAGAACAATGAGAAATGCATCTGGAAGCCTTGCTGGTGCCATGTGTGAGTGGTGTGCTGGTAGCACAGGGTGTTTGTTCTCTTTGCAGCACACAATGCTGCAGCTGATCAAGGAAGCTGGGTGCCACAATGGACTCACGCCCCGCGACGACTCCCCTGTCACTGAGGTGCTCAACCAGGTCTGCCCTTCCACGTGGAGAGGAGCCTGCAAAACTGCTGTGCAGCTCTTGTTTGGCCAGGCTGGACTGGTAGGTGATGGCCACGGCCTCAGGAAAGCAAAGGTGGTGTAAACACCCTGAAGGGAAGCTTGGTGTTGGGGAGTTTAGGAATGAATTTGCAGGGTCTTGCTCTGTGTTGTTCTGTTTTTAGTGCTGCAGTTAATTTGATTTCTGAGCAAATGTGTCCCTGTACAGTGGGGCTCTGTTGGTGGTGTCCCTGTTTGACAGGAACAGAAGAATGCACCAGGTGCTTCCTGGTCTCCGTTTCAAGAGAGAACACAAGAAATGAAACTTCTGCTTCATAAAGAAATAGAAATGCTTTCAAATCTGTAGATGAACATGTTAAAAAAACTAAACAGACCCAAACACACATCTACCCCTCTCAAACTGGCTTCAAAAGCTGCCATTTTTTCATTTCCTCTCTGCTTTGACTGGAAGCTGAGTTTCCTGCCCAGCATAAAGTCTCTGCCCCAGGTAAAGCTACCTGACATCTCCAACAGAGGACAGGAGAGTTGAATCCTGCTGTAGACTTTGTGTTCTTGAGGGAAGAAAACCAGTGGAATTTACAGTATCTAAGCAGCTGATAAAAATAGATGCTTGGAACATACTCTGATAAGAAAATGCATTTGTGCTGCCATGACTAATGACTGCAATCTCTGCACTTGGTGAAGTGTTTGTGCATGACTTGTAGGATTTTTGGACTACTGTGAGTAGGGGAAGAGGCTGCACCTTCAGCATAGGAAGGAAATGCAAGGATGTATCACTGTAGCCTTTGATAGTTTTGTCAAGTGTTTTTTGAATTGTGTTAAACCTACAGTGAGTTAAATGCTGCTTGCTGGTTCATTGCTGATGGGGGACCATGAGGACTTTGTAATTAATTTGTGATTAAAGGACCCAAATAGCTGCATATTTTTAAGTCTGTTTTTCAGACAAATCACACAGCTGCTTAGGTGACCTAGGCCTTCCATCCTAGTAAATTAAACCATGTGCTTTTAAAAGGTTATCCAGTAATGTTGAATGATAAATTGGGAATGATGAATTTGCCAGATATTTCTGCTTTAGCATCCCTTTGATACTAGATATTAGATAGTCCCTTAATAGTAAATACCTGTGAGAGAAGTAGATTGAAATTACACTGGAATTCAGCTGACTGTTCATATAATGGTGGTGTATAATTCATAAAATCAGAGGTGCAGACCATGAGTGTCAGGACAGCAGGGCCCCTGCTGTCAATCCTTCACTGAGACACAGGGGCTGAGGGCAGGAGAGGGCAGTGCTTTGGCTGAGAAATTTTACAGGAGGCACAAGAAGGTGTTTTTGTTTTTGCAGGGACAGAGAAACTGTAGAATAACAGGATTTATCAAATTTCTGCTTTGGTGTTTTGAAAGAAAATGTGTATTAAATACTAATAAATAGAAGGAGGGCTGGAAAAAGGACAGGGTTAAATGGGATTGTGCCTTCAGCTGCCACGGTTGGGGTGGGATGCTGGGATCAGCAGTGAGGTGCAGGAAATGAGGCCAGGGAGGAAGGAGATTCTCAGCAGCCCTTGGGAGGGCTGTGTGTGAGCAGCTGTGGCTCCTGAGTGTCTGCAGGAGCAGGGCCTGGCAGGATGCTGCACCTTCCTCCATTTCCTTCCAGGGGGTTCAGTGCTGTGCACACCCAGCTCCTGCCCGGGGGGGGTTTCAGGAGTGGCACTTTTGGAGTGAGGAATTTGGAAATCTGGTGTCCCCCAGTCTAGACAGAACGAGTTAGACCTGCTGCTAATTGGAGCACTGACATTCTTCAGGTTTGTCATCACTTTTGGAGAGTGTCACTGTAAAACTTGCTTACACATTCTCCCAAATGGCAGTGCTGAGCTGTGGAGTTTCACTTGTGTTCAATCCTGAATGTCTCCAGAGATTTTTGCATGAACATCAGGTTCTGAAAGTGGCAGGCTTCTCTCTTCAAAGGCACAAAATGAGCTGTGCACATGCCAGAGGACCTGCAAGCCTGCTCTGCTTCATTCTCACTTGGATTTGTTACAGTTCAGAAGGGGATGAGGGTTGAGGTTTTTCTTTATAAACTATGTGCCATCTTTTTTTTACAACATCCAGTTCTGCTTATATGTAGCTTCATGCAGAGACAAGAAATTGTACTTTGGGTCTTTAAAGGGTTCTTTGGGTGGAAGGGAGAGAGGAAGCACCTGTACAACAAGAACAATGCATGTCTGAGGTACAGGAAGCTGTTCTCCAAGCACCACCAGGCGGGGAGGGAGGATGTGCTCATTTGAAGTTTATTTTGTGAAGAAGGCAGATAAATGAGTCATGGCACAGCATTATGTAGGCTTTGGTGTGCTGCTTTCAGATCCTGGGCTCTCTGCATTCATTCAGAATTGTGTGCATCTGTATCTTAAATGCCCAGTTGGAAAAAACATTCCTTGGCAGTCCCACTGATTTTAACCTATCCTGTGCCCTTGTGCCTTTTAAGAAGTGACTCATTAAGTGTGGAAAGCACAATGGGTTGTGACTTAGTTTGCTTGGTTATTTTAGGCTGTAGTTTTTTAACAGTAATAATTTGAAGTGCTGATTTTCAGTTCTTACCTTAACTTGTATGTAATAAGAATTGCATTTTGAGATTTGGGTCAGCTGATGAAATCTTCATGTTTGAATAAAAATAATGTACATTCAAATAGCTGAATTCAGAGGATGAGCAGAAATAAAGCTTCCAATTGGCCTCATGCAAAGAGGTTGAGAGATAAAATTCCTTTTTTTTTGTGCTAGTAGACACAGCAAACACCACCATGCATTGCAGGAGCACTAAATCCCCTAGCAAAGTTTAAATCCCAGATTCCTGACTGACAGATGTTGAGAAATGTGAAGCTTTTTGCAAAGGGAAGAAACAAGGGGAAGGAACACCCCAACAAAGCCTGGACCGTGAGCACCCACCATGCACCACAGCCAGAACCCGACTCAGGCCTGCACAAATCAGAGATTTACCTGACCTCAGGTCTCAGGTGCAAACTGTATTTTTCTTGGGAGTTAATAACAATCACTCCTGAGTTCATTTCTCCTTAGCACAGTTATGAGGAGTGATCTGTTAACAGTTATTCACTGTTATCACAGTCATAAATTGCCCCTGCAATAGGGCTGAGCTGCAATTACCAAATAAAATAAAACTAAAATATACAAACACCAAGAAAATACTGCTGGAATTGTCCTGTTACAAAATGAGAGGTGTTTTCAGGGATGGATGATGGTGTGGTCTTTTTTTACCTTTTCACCTTTCACCTTTTTATTCATTTAAAATTGAATAAACCTGGGCAAAGGCTTAGAGTCACCTGAAGGAAAAAGAAGGCCCTCTGCTAAAATATTTGAAAGATGGGAAATAATTATGTTCAAGTGTTATTTGATGGTTTTTTTAAAGTGAGAGAAGAAACTCAGCATTCGGTTTCACATTTTTTCAGACACCCAGTTAGAAGCAGGCCCAGTGTAGGTTGGGTGATGGCAGCAAATCAGTCATGTCCCTTGAGGCTGAGTTACACCAGGGGACTTTTGGCATTTCAGGGATAAATGGTGCAGCTGATCTGCCAGCCACTGAAGCACAACTGCTGACTGCTGCCAAAAAGCTGCTGTTTCAGCATGACCAAAATAGGAAATTATGGAAATGATCAAAAAGGCCAACCCACACAGCCTGGACAACAACAGAAAGCATGAGCCAAATATGGAACTTACTATCACTAAATTAAAGTGTCTTACTATCTTACTTATGTTAAATTGTCTTACTATCACTAAATTCAAGGCTAAATGAAGCTGAAGTGAATCCATTCCTTTTCCATTGCTAAAAAGAAAGGTTCATGACACAGGGTTGGTCTTCAAGACTTTCCTCTTTGTGTCCTCATGACATCTTACGGGTGGCTCAGGGTCCAACAAACTGAAGTCACTTTTCTTCTCTTTATTTAATCAGGAATTAATAATGGTAGAGTTTCATTAGGTACAATAGAGAAATGTTGGTGTGGAATTTTATAACCTTAAAAGGGGAAGTTGTGTAAGGAATTTTGAAGGGTTTCTGGCTGGATATTACTGTCTATATCATACCGTGCACTACAGTGTGATTTAAAGCATTTTGCTGAATAGGTGTTTGGGAGCTCCTAAAGTAGTAACTGTGCTAAACTTCCCAAAAATGCTGAGAACTGAGAACTACCAGCAGGGAGGTGGAGCAGCTGGTAACAACATAGTGATGCATTACTACAGGGTGGAACTGAGAAGAACTGAGTCCTTGAAATACAGGTTTCTGCACTAAACTAATTTTATGTTAAAATAGGAGTAAATTTACAATGATTTTGTGAGTTGGTTTGCTTTTATTTGGGGTTTTTTTTGTACGTGTAGAATGACTGGGAGGGAAGATTGTTAGAGTTTAACTACAGGGGTAATAAAATAATTAATTCTTAATTTTTTTCCCTTTTATTTACTTGATTTGCTAGGTGGTTGTGGACACGGCACAGATTGAAAATAAAGAAGCCTATGCTCCTCAGATAAGTTTAGAAGGATCAAGAATTGTGGTGCAAGTTCCATCAACGTGGTAAATAAAAATCTTGTACTGCAGATTGTGACTGGGGAAGATTGTTACAAATGGAATAGAGAACATGCACAGTTATGGCACAGCTTCCTTAAGTTCCTCTGTCTGGACTGGTTGAACATCTCCATTGCTGACAGGCTCCTCTGTAGGAGGCAAGGCAAGAGAGGCAGTGCTGGGGCACTGAGACTTGTAGGAAATGTAAAAGCTTGATGATAAAAGAGAAGGTTTCAAAAATAATAATCTGCCAGTACTGGTGTGATGCTCCAGCCTGGCAGGTCCCAGCTGGAGCTCAGGGAGGCCAAGAATTGGCTGAGTTATGTGAGCGCCTTTGCTCTTCCTTCACTGGGCTGATCTCTGGGTGCTCCTGTGAGCCATGGACCTCAGGGCTCCAGGAGATGCTGTCCCTGCCAGTTCAGGGGTCTGCCTAGCAAAGGATGGTTGGTTGCAGCTTGGGAGGATTTCTCCCGTTCAGAGCAGTGGGAGCAGGAGGCAGTGGCACCTCTGGTCTCTGACTGGGAAGCAGGCAGTGTGACAGTGTTCACAGGGGTCTTAGGGTGAGGGAAGAGATGGGAATGTTGACTCCATGTTTCAGAAGGCTTGATTTATTATTTTATGATATATATTATATAAAAACTATACTAAAAGAATAGAAGAAAGGATTTTATCAAAAGGCTAGCTAAGAATAGAATAAAAATAGAATGATAACAAATCTTGTGTCTGACCGAGACCGTCCGAGCCAGCTGACTGTGATTGGCCATTAATTAGAAACAACCACATGAGCCAATCACAGATCCATTTCTTGCATTCCACAGCAGCAGATAATCATTGTTTACATTTTGTTCTTAAGGCCTCTCAGCTTCTCAAGAGAAAAAATCTTAAAAAAAAGACTTTTCATAAAATGTGTCTGTAACAAGGCAGTGTTAGGCGTTTCAGTACAACACATTTGATTCACAGGACTCCTCACAGAGACAGCCTGTTCCTAATGGTGCTGCTGGCACGGCCGGGGGGAGGAGAGCCCCGGTGCTGTGTGCGGAAGGAAGCAAGGCAGGAAGGAGTGTCCGGGGCAGGGGAGGAAGAGAGGAAAGGAAGGGATGTATATGTGCATGTATGGTGTGTGCCCCGGGGAAAGGAAGGAAGGAGTCCTCGTGGTGTGTCCTGGGGGAGGGAAAGAGGGAAGGAAAGGAAGGAATGTATGTATGTATGGTGTATGTCCTGGTGCTGTGTCCCGGGGAAAGGAAGGAAGGAGTGTCCCCCGTGCTGTGTCCCTGGGGAAGGAAAGAAAGGAAGGAATGTATGTGTGCGTGTGTGGTGTTATGTCCTGGTGCTGTTTGCCGGGGGAAGGAAGGAAGGAGTGTCCTGGGGGGAGGGGAGGGGAAGAAGGAAGGAGAGTGTCTGTGAGTGTGTCTGTGTATCTGTGTGTGTGTCTGTCTGTCTGTCCGTGTCCCGGAGCTCCGGGATGTCCCCGCTGCCGGGGGCAGCGCCGCCTGCTGGCGCTGGGCGGTACCGCGGGGACATGGCCCGAGCCCCGGTGGCGCTCAGGGAACGCCGGCCCACGCTGAGGGATGTGCGGGGGATGTGGGAGCCATCACTGGGATGTGGGAGCCATCACCTGCCCCACACTGAGGGATGTGGGAGCCATCACTGGGATGTGGGAGCCATCACCTGCCCCACACTGAGGGATGTGGGAGCCATCACTGGGATGTGGGAGCCATCACCTGCCCCACACTGAGGGATGTGGGAGCCATCACTGGGATGTGGGAGCCATCACCTGCCCCACACTGAGGGATGTGTGAGCCATCACCTGCCCCACACTGAGGGATGTGTGAGCCATCACCTGCCCCACACTGAGGGATGTGTGAGCCATCACTGGGATGTGGGAGCCATCACCTGCCCCACACTGAGGGATGTGGGAGCCATCACCTGCCCCACACTGAGGGATGTGGGAGCCATCACTGGCATGTGGGAGCCATCACCTGCCCCACGCGGACCCAGCCACGCTCAGGCTCTCTGTGTGTGTGGGGTTGTCTCAGGCTCCTGCCATGTTCCAGAAAGGAGTGTTGAGTGTTGTGTGTTCTGTGTTTGTTGCTGTTCCTGCTAAAGAGCTCTTGTCAGTGATGAGTTCAGCACAATGTACTGCTGAACCTCACAGTGAGGTTAGCTCTGTTCCATGGCATGCAGAGCTCAGGCTGCAGCCCAGGAACCACCAGGCATTCCCATTGCAGGAGTGCAGCAATTGTTCTGTATTCTGACTGATGTGGTAGAATTGTTTAATGTAACACATAAGCATTGTGATTTCTAATTTAAACTTGATGACAGGTGTCTGAAAGAAGATCCAGCAACAATGTCTTTGCTACAGAGGAGTCTGGATCCGGAGAAGACTTTGGGACTGGTGGATGTGCTCTACACTGCTGTGTTTGATATACACAGGTGGAAGGAAGGAAGGTACATCTCTTTTCTAGTTCAAACTAAGCTGTCATCATTGAATAGTCTGTGCTGAGGGGTTTGATAGTGCCAGCTCATCAGAAGGGGAAAACAGGAATCAGATTGAGAGTGAGGCACTGTTAATCCCCGCAGATACCTTCTGGGTGCATCCAGAGATGCAGGAGACTGCTTAAAACCAAACCAGCAGCATATCCAAGGGTTAGAAAGTATTTGCTTCTCTCTTACAAAAACATTTGATTTATATTAAATCGGTCTCCATTTAGGTCTTGAAGCACAACTAGCATTTAAGGAGTGGAAAGTATTGCAAATATGAGGAATAATTTGCTTTGTTACCATAAGAAGTAGCTGGTGGACTGGGCAGTCTTTGGTGTTGTTTCTTTGTTGAGCTATTACCAAAATACACGTTTTCCCCCAAAGTACAAACTCAGTTATGTTTCAGGTGGTTTGACATCCATGTTTTTTGTTGATGCAGGGAGCAAGCTTTGCCTTGTATCCAGATCCAGTTACAGCGTGAAATCTCAGAGTTTGGGAGCCAGGTTGACATGCCAGCGGGGAATGGAAGCAAATCTTCAGGGGGTCTGCAAAAGACATTCTCCAAACTGACTTCACGGTTTACAAAAAAAACTTCCTGCACCAGTACAAGTAACACAGGGAGTTACTCAATCCCCAATACACCTTCCAAAAACGTCTTCATAAGTTCCAGCTCAGAGGAGAAGGCTAAGATGCCCTCGGCCATGGACGCACGGCTGCAGAACATCCTGAGCATGGGGAGCTTCCCTCGGAGCGCCGACGCCCTGCAGGCAGCGCAGAGCTCAACCAGCCCGCTGGTCAACGGCTTCCTCGGGGAGAGGCGGGACAGCTTCTTCAAAGCAGATGATGGCAAGGATGACAAAGGTATGAATTTACCAACTGACCAAGAAATGCAGGATGTTATAGATTTCTTGTCTGGTTTTAACATGGGCAAATCCCAGCAGACTTCTCCGATGGTGAAAAGAAGGAACTCTGTTGCGTCCTCTACAGCAGCAGAACAGAAGTCGGGAGCGGTTCAACAGCAGCCACAGTCTGTGTCTCACACCCCGCTGCACCCTCCTCAGCAAGGCTTGTCTCAGCAGCAGTCCCAAAAGCAGCAAATGCAGTATTACCAACACCTGCTTCAACCTATCGGACCACAGCAACGTGTACCTGCCAAATGGCTCAGTAATTCTTCACAGCAGCAAGCTCCGGCTGTTGGAGCTGGGTTGTCTCATATAAATCAGTGGAACAATCCTGGTTTTTCAGATTTAAGCTCTGATTTGTACAGCTTGGGTCTTGTGAGCACCTATATGGACAATATGATGGCAGAGATGTTAGGACAGAAACCACAAGGACCTAGAAACAACACGTGGCCAAATCGTGACCAAACTGATGGAGTGTTTGGGATGTTGGGAGAAATCCTGCCTTTTGACCCTGCAGGTGTGTGTCTTTTCCTTTATTATGCTTTTTGCAAGGGTTCTTTGTAAAAGAATTCTGTGAATGTTGCTGGCAATAACTCATTTCCCTGTGCTCACTGGATGTAAGGGTGCTGACCAGTGCAAGCAGGGATTTGTGTGTGTGCTAATTTGCTTTTTTAACACAAGGTGATCTTAAAACTCTAATTAACAAGTAAGCATGGGAAATAATTCCTTGTTTCTTGTCCCAGTTGTAGCAGTCTGACCTCTCCCATATGGAGCGCACCAGAGTACTGAAAAGATACAGATGATGTTCCTCCTATACTTAGCTTGTAAAATTGTTCAAAATCAAACTCTTGAACTCAGGTGTGTTCCCTCTCCTCAAAATTATTCTTCCTGCTCTTTAGGAGTCTTGTAAGCTGGAGATACACCTGGGTTGCATCTTTCCCATATCCCCACATTTTCCATCCATTGCTCCCCAGTTCCCTGGGAGTGCTGCTGGTTCCTGTTCCACAGCTGGTTCTGCAGTGAAAAGTTTGGATGTCAAAGGGTTAGAGACTAAACAGCAAGTGCCATGAGGTTTGCCATATGTGTTTAAACCGCCAATAAATTGTAAATATAGATGAATTGAGATAAAATTTTAGAGTCATAAACAAATATCTACAGACAAGAAATTGACTGTGGAATTTAAGAGGAGATGAATCCCCATGTGGGTCATTGGCTTGAGAGCTGGAATTGGTGATCCTTGTGGGTCTCTTCCAACTCAGATATTCTGTGATTGTGTGATTCTGATGGTGGCATTAAGAACAACTTCCACAGCTGCTACCTTGTAAATGTAACTTCTGTTGGGCTGCAACACAGCTGCAGGAATGTTGGAGTGTGCATTTATGGCAGCTGCCTGAGGGAGGAGCAGAGAACAGGGAAACCTTTTATCAAAGCAGGGCTCAGTTTCTTGTGCTCATTGCACTTGTCTGTGTTTGGAATGTGTGGGTGTCTCAAACCAGCTCCTTTGGCTCATAATTATGATAGTTATTTTGTCAACTTACTTGATTAATTAGTGGAGTTTCTATGGCAAAAATAGCCACCAAAGTTACACTGTTGCCTAATGACTGTAAGTCTGAATTAGCACATCTTAGTTAAACAGACTTAGGGTATAGACTTAAGGATTATCACAGCCTCTAAGGAAGGACAGAATTATTCTCAGCAAGCACTAAGCCTATGTGTGTAGGAAAAGAAAGCAGGTATGCAGAGGACTGACATTCTCAGCATTTGAAATCCATTCTATTTCTGGAGTATTTTCCTTTTGCTGTACAAAAAACTCCTTATGTTGCTTCATTTGATGAATGTCAGGGATGTAGAAAGTGGTACCTGGAAAGGTGACTTACTCAAGGTCCATAAATGGTGCTCAGTGGATTGATACACACTTCTGCAGTTGTAGTGATAAGTAAAAACAGTGTTTTTCACAGATCTGGCATTTAAAAAACAAAAACCAAACAAAAATCCTTCCAACTGAATACTTTTCCACTAGAAAGAACTTTTCTTCTTAGAACTTGCCAGGTTGAGCTGTGGTGTAGAAATTTGCATTTTAAGCTTTAGTGTTGTACAAAAAGCTGTAAACCAGAACACTGTTTTTCATTTCCAGGGTTTCCTAGGACTGTACATTTCTCATTTGAAACAAAACACATTACTTTCTTGATAAATACTTCTAGAGTCTGAAAATTATATCTCTCTTCAGATGCAAAACTGCTGATTAAGAATTTATAAAAAGGAAATTTATGGCTTTTCATGTTGAAGCCTAATTAGTCCCAACAATGTATTTTGTAGTATTTAGTCATCACTAAGAACCTGATGAAGGAATGTTGCAATAAGAACTAATAGAAGGAATGTTGGTAACTCAAATCTTTTGGAGTAAAAAACTATCTGATAAAAACCTGTTCACCTGATGTTTTCAGTGAGGTAAAAATTAACATAAGGTTCTATTTTGAATATTATCAGCACTTTAGAACTTAATGCTGTCCACAGGTAAAAAAGCCTGGATGTCCTTCAGAATCCATCTAGACTCTGTTCTTAGATCTAAGGAACTGTCTGGCTTCCAGCCTCATCTTAAATAGACATAAAGGTATTTGAGAACAAGTACAAGTGGGGATGTTTTGTTCCTAGGTAGCTCTCAGATAGCCCTTGCTTAGTAAAAGAGGCAGAGAAACAAAGTTTTCTTCACTGTCTATTTAATTTGCATTCAGCAAAACATTGTGGAGGTCTTTTCTGGATGTGCCAAATGAGAACAAGGAAACATCTTCCAAATGCAGTATTGAATGTAGGGAGCTGTAGATAAGAGAGGTTTCTGCTTTGTGAGCTGTGCAGGATTGTTGGATGTTCTTCAGTGTTCACTCCATCTCCAGCTGAGACTGGCAGGCCAGCAGCTCAGTACTTCCCACTGCAATTACTGTGCATTTAGTCTAGACATTTTCCATAAATCCAGTCAGATTGCCAAGTTTATTCTCAGGGAAGAAAAAAAGGCAAAAGAAAGAGAAGCTGTGGAGACTCAGTTAGTGACTCATTATCAGCAGTCTTTTGAATACAGCAATTGCTTGCTCTGATCAATGGAGCATTTGAAACACTTTTGGATTGAGGCTTTTGCTGTGTCTGCTCAAGAGTGTGCTTATTTCTTATTGGATACTTGGGACACAAAAAGCATGTTGAGAATGGAAGAATTTTTAAATTACTGCTTTTTTCTGTAAATATAATTCTTATTCTGAAATATTTTGTAGTCAGAATCAGAATGTTTTCAGAATTGCCTCATCCTTATAGGAAGGAGGCAGTTTTGGTGCTCTTGTGTTCCAGTATGATCCAAGCAGGATCACAGCATAGCTGGAAACCATGTTGCACTCTGGTATCAACTACAGTAACTGTTCTGTTGCTTTTCACATGTGTGGATAAATGTCCAGTGTCCATTTCATCAGTGTCTGGATATTGGACCTTTCAGCATAGACATGATCATAGTACAAACACAGTTTCCCTGATGGAATGCAAGGGGCAGGTTACTTCCATGTGATAATTATTATCCACCGTGGATGCCGTGTATCTCATCTTTGTAAAACTTGTAAAACTTTCTTCACTGCTCCATGCAGACCCATCCACTGCTGGCTGCCATTTGTCAGCAGGGAGGGAATTACTGTGGTGTGGGGCATGGTCAAACCTGAAGCATTGGAAGTGTCAGCAATGGATTTGTTGGTTTCTTTCCCTCAGTTGGCTCTGATCCAGAGTTTGCTCGCTATGTGGCTGGGGTGAACCAGGCTATGCAACAGAAGAGGCAAGCGCAGCACGTCCGGCGCCCGAGCACCGCGCGCGGCAACTGGCCCCTTCCTGATGATCCCCACAAAACCTGGCCCTTCCCTGACTACTTCACAGAGGGGTAAGAGACTGCACAGGCTGCATGCTTTTATTGGGGGACTTGATTTTGCACCCAGACTTGGCAGAATGTGGGGATACTGGGGTTTTTCAGTTGCTGCTGCATCTGTGAAAGCTGCACTTCACTGTTCAGAGTGAGCAATGTGACCCTGCCTGCTCTGCTGATCCAAGGCACTGACGTGCTGGATGTCATCCTTAGAGTGGCATGGATACTGACTGGGACTCCCACAGAGGAAATAAGGAATCTATAGCACAGATGTATTCAGGGGAGTTTTCTTGGAGTGTTTTAAAACCTAGTTTTGATGAAAAGTGATGCTGTCAAAGTTGCAGAGCGGATAAATATTAATTTCCCAATTACACTGTGGGCCCTCAAGCAGCCATCAACAAAGAGTGTGTTAAAGCTCTACACTACAAAAATATAAGAACTTTATGACTCCCTCCCCATAACAGGCTAACCTATATTTAAATAGGAGAATTAATGCTAGAATGAGTAACCAGGGTCCTCCCTCTACGACACAAGCTTACATCCATACATTATTAATAAATCACCAATATACACAAATCAAACAAGCAGAGTATTAAGTATCTTGTTAACTCGACAGAGGAGCGTCCATTAAGAAAGATTAAAACCTGTAAACCAGAAATAAGGAATCTATAGCACAGATGTATTCAGGAGAGTTTTCTTTGAGTACTTTGAAAACAGCTTTAAGACCTAGTTTTGATGAAAAGTGATGCTGTCAAAGTTGTGGTGCCTGATTGAAATCAGTTTTCCAGATTTTAGCCACTTAATCCTGCTACTAAAAGGCAGGTACCTCACAGCAGGTACATTTGTAGTTTTTAATATCTTCTAAGTCATACCTATTTACTACACAAGAAGTGTTTCAAGATTCTGTCCATTTGTCCATAATGTAAGAGCAGTGAGTATCTAGTGTAAAACCAGGATGGATATGTGTTCTAGCTCAGTTTTGCAGTGATAAAGTCAAGTATTTAGTGATTCCAAACCCAAGCATCACTTGTTTCTCCTTCTGAACAGGAGAGGTGCTTCTAATTGATATCATTATTGTAGTTAAATATATATAAAGAGGCTGTAACAGCCAGAGCAGTTACTGTGACCACTCAGAACTAGTCAAAGTACTTCTATTACTGGCACATTTTACCAATTGCTGAAATGTTGTGCTCTGAGGTATCACCTGTGACAAAGATTCAGCACAACTGTGGCACACAGTCTGGACAGGCACAGTAAATACAAGGACTAATCCAACTTTCTGTCTTGCAGTGATGTGACAAACAGCTGGTCTGGTACTCAAGGAGACTCTGCCAGCTCAAGCGATGAGACCTCCTCAGCTAACGGAGACAGTTTGTTCTCCATGTTCTCAGGGCCAGACCTTGTTGCTGCTGTAAAGCAGAGGAGGTGAGCAAAATGAACAGAAATGGACCACTTTGAAAGATTCCTTTTGTTTATATGTAATTTCATTTGAGTAGCAAAGGAAATTCCTGGAAATAAGGCAAGTCTCCACAAAGATGAGTTTGTGTGCTGCACTGGTGATGTGAGCTGCAGTAGCAGCTTTCTCCTTGTACAAACCAGCTCTGTGCGAACAGCCAGCCCTTCACTGAGGTCACTGTGGCATGAGAGGTCCCTCCTGCATGAGAGTTCTCCTTTGGATGCCATTTCCTGGGGCTTTATGAGATCCTCACTGGTTCTGTGGAGTGCCTGGCTGCAGCTGGGCAGTGCCTTTGGGTGGGTTTGGGTGCCTTGGCTGCAGCCCTGGCACTGGGGAGAAGCTGCTGCTGACCTGGCGTGCACCTCTCACCTCAGTGTGGCTGTTCTGGGAGTGGGAAATCCACCCCTGCTCAGTCCTCTGTGGCTCACAGCAGGAAGAGGAGGCCAAATTGCCTTTGTAAATAATTTCAGTAATGGAAAAACCAGGCCAGGATTTTCAGCTGTGAACAAGCCACTTCTATCAGTAGTGTGAATTACAGCAATTCTGCTTTTCTAAAGGGCTGGAGGCTCGGTGGCTTTGGAACCTCAGTGATTGCACAGCAGAGGGTAGGCAGAACAATAGTAACAAAAGGAACAAGATGAAGCATGAATACCGACCCAATTCCAATCTGGAATTGTTCTCTCAAACTATTTTTCATTCTTTTCTAAAAATGAAATAAGTGGCCAAATATTTGTTTACAGTCACAGAGTAATTTGGAGTCAATACATAGATAGAAGATTGTCTGTCTGCTTTTTGGTGAATGAAAAATAGTGCCAGTTTCTCACAGATTCCACCTGGATAGCTATTTTTGTATGCATTACCAGAAAGGGATAAGAGTAGCTACTTTCTGAATCTTTACACTTAGCCAAGACTTCCTAGGGAGGGAACAAAAATTGAGCTTCAGTGAATGTTAAGTTGAAATTAATGGGAAAGAGCCATCTATAAACAGTCACAGAAAAAGTAGTAATTACTTGTTTTTTACAAAAAAGCAGGAGGGAAGGAAAACAAACACGTAAGGGTGACTTATGTCACCAGTAGATAGCTGGACACTGATCATGGAGCAAGAAGAAAAGCCTCTGGTTTATGAAGTGCTCTAAAGGGCAGAAGAAAGTGTCCAAAGAGGGTTCTTCACTGCCCAAAACCTCAGCTGAAGTCACAGTACTGCTGTCTGCTGTCACTTGTAGAAGAGCAGTATTCTGTAGGTGAGGACCTGACAACAGACCAGAGCTAAAGCTGGGCACTAAGAGGAGGCAGAAGGGCTGAGTGAGCTAAAGGTGACCTGCAAAGGGCTGCTGACCTGTGGGAGCCTGATTGGAGCATGCTGATTGGGGTTTTTACAAAAAGGATGAAATAAAAGATTCTGCTTTAATCTAAACCCACGCCCTTAATCGCTCCTCCTAAAAAAACCCCAACCAATCAAATAAAAAAGACCAAAAAATCCAAGAAAAAAATTCTTCCAGAATGAACATGTGGTCAAGGATTTCTATTTGATAACTCAGTATTAGGTCACAAATTTAAACTGAAGGTAGAACATTTTTCTTCAGTAAAATTACTGTGCTTCAGCAGATGTTTCACTTCCTCGACTGGTGTTTTGCCTTATCTGTAAGGTTATTTCAGAAAAGATACTTAAAAACAAAACCAAAAGAAACCTGGCCACAAGAGCAGGTTAACAGAAGTAAAAACACAATTTCTGGCAGATTTCTTGAAAGTGGGCAAAAGCTTCCTTTCACCTCTACAGAAATGTTGAAGCTGTAGCTCCAAGAACTACTGCCTTATCATGTCCCTAACAGTTTGTGTATTGTTGCTTTTACCTGTACTGAACAAAAAGTATATAAAACCAGATGTTTCTGAAAACAGTACTGTAGGCTGATCTGTGCCAGTGGCAGATTAATGAGGGTGACTCATTTAAACCAACAAGTCAATGTCTGTCTCTTCCTGCAGAAAACACAGCAGTGGTGAGCAGGAGCCCAGCACGCTGCCATCGCCTCCCCTGCTCTCTGCAGCAGATGACCGCAGTCAGGTGAGCTCAGCAGGGCTTGGCTCAGTCCCTTGTGCTGCTGGCACCTGGGGTGGGTGTGCATGAGGCAGTCAGCTGGAAAAGCATCTGCATCTCCACATTGCTTACTTCACTGAAAACCTAAACCACCTGCACTCAAGTAGCGTGAGGTGCTTTTGTCAGCCACCAAGCTCAATGTATTAAAATTGGAAGTCATTTACTTTTTCAGTGGGGTCACTGTGTGTCAAGCTGAAGTCAATGTTTTTTAACGGGCAGATTTTTAAGAATTTAGAGTGCTATATGTAGGCATCAGTTTGGCTTTTGTCACAGACATGTTTTATGAAAAATCCTTTTTTAAGGATTTTTCCTCTTGAGAAGCTGAGAGGCGTGAGGAACAAAATGTAAACATTGATTATCTGCTGCTGTGGAATGCAACAGGTGCATCTGTGATTGGTCTCATGTGGTTGTTTCTAATTAATGGCCAATCACAGTCAGCTGGCTCAGACTCTGTCTGAGCCACAAGCTTTTGTTATCATCTCTTCTGTTGTTAGGATTTCATCAGAAGGCTAGCTTTCTTCTATTCTTTTAGTATACTTTTAATATAATATATATGATAAAATAATAAATCAAGCCTTCTGAAACATGGAGTCAGATCCTCATCTCTTCCTTCCTCCTGCGACCCCTGTGAAGACGGTCACAGGCTTTCAAATATAAACTAATCTTGTGACAGTATCTCAAGGAGGTGATAAGGTGACATGTTAAGTATTGTCTCAAAAAAGCAGCATTCTGTTGTTAAACCAGAGCACTCTAACTGATTTTGCTTTCTCAGGATAACAAGACCAAAACGTGGCCCCCCAAGGCGCCGTGGCAGCACACGTGCTCTGTGCCCAGCACGCTGCCCAGTCAGAGCGCGTCGCTGTACCCCATGAGCAGCCCCGTGGGCCAGTGGAGTGACACCATGCAGATGCTGCAGTCGCCCATGTGGGCCAGCGAGTGCGGCCCCGCCGGGCTCTCCTCCGGCTTCGCCTACGCCCAGCAGCAGCAGCAGTCCCAGCAGGCCTCCCAGCACAAACAGATCAACAAGGGCTTTAAATCCTTCCCAGTGAAGCACGAGCGCAGACCATCTTACCTGCACCAGTACTGACTACTGCTACTGCGACATGCAGCACAGGGCCAAATGGAAATCACGTTACTTTGATTCACAGTGCTGTGTTGGCTATATCCTGTTTCTCTCTCCATGTGGGATTGAGGGGGTTTGGGTGAGATAGACAAACTCTCGGATTCTGAGTTACAGTGCTGAGCAAATATGGCCAATATGTTTGGTGTACATGAAACAGCCCAAAACTGTGATGTAGAAATGCTTTTAAAAATGTGTAATTGCCTTTACTTTCAAGACATTTTTTTTTTTCTAAAAAGAACTGCTGAAGGACTACCATACAAGAAACACTGTATTTTATAGCTATTTTTCATATAGATTTATAGTTAAAACATCTTACTGAAACACATTGAATATGTTGAAGCAAATATATAGTGGTCACTTTGCTCAACACTGTTTGTGTTTAAATTTATAAAGGACAAGCTGTAGAACCTTTGTATTCTCCATTACAGCCTGTGGGCAGCTTTTTTACAATGAAGTGCAACAGCAGCTTTTCCTGTGCTACACAAGCGAGTTCATTTGGGAACTGCTGCAGAAACAGTCACAAAACTGAGTTTTGTGGCAGTTTCCTTCCTGTAGGTGAAGATCAGCAGAACCACTCAGACTTGTGTTGTCAACGTGACCTGAGCTGCTTGACATGGATGGCACCTCTGTGGACAGAGGGACCCTGGTTCCAGACGTGTGTGGACAAAGGGACTCTGGTTCTCACACCTGTGTGGACATTGGGGCCCTGGTTCTCACACCTGTGTGGACAGAGGGACCCTGGTTCTCACACAGACCCTGTCCTCTGGCTGCATTTGGCCAAAGGCATTTTCCACAAGGTGCTCCCGCAGTGTGTGAAAGCAAAGCCTAAGAGACTACTTGCATTTATTTAAAGTCTTATTTCAGATGCTACAGTTGATTAAAAATTGTGAGCTGGCTCAGAAGATAGTAAAACTGAAATGTGGGGTAGCAGTTAGTTAAAAGAACATTATTTTTTTTAAAAGGATAAAGTAATTATTTGCAGTCAATATGTGCCATTAAGTGAACCTGTGGAATTAGGAATAATCTTCCAACCAAAGTGGATGGGGGCGAGTGACTGGTGCTTACAAATTCAAGAACAATGGTAAATATGTATACCTATCCCACTGTATATGAATTGAGATTACAGAAGATTCTTTATATAGTTAGAGCTTATTTAAATTTTCATATTTCATCTTTGAAAGAGTCTAAAAACCACAATATTTTCTGGTATAAGAGTTTTGACAGTATTAATCTTATTTTTGTATTTTTCTTAAGTCATATCATTCTAATATGTTAACTACTAGTAAAATGGGTTATTAGTTCTAACTACATAATTTTTCAATGAAGATAAAGCACATTTTTTGGTTTTGGTTTTACAAACTAAGTACATCTATATCTGAAGATACCAAAAAATAAATACATTATATATATATATATATATAAATAAAAAGTATACACAACACTAAAACTATTAAACATTTGGGTATTTAAAACCCATCCACCTTTTTTGTTTGTATGGTGACGGGCTCTATTTGCAGGCCCAGATTGTTACCTTTTGTGCTGTTTGAGGATGCCAATGTTGCCTGTATTTATGATATTGTCACCATGTTTTCTGAAACTTCATACTTACCATGTTTACAAAGATTTGTTTGCTGTACATAGACTTTTTACAGTAATGTGCTTTGCACAATCAGTGTGGCTTCTGTCTGTAAATTGTTAATGGTCTGTACTACTATGATTTTGAAAACCTTCCACTGAAAATGTTAGTGGTTATTTAACTTCATGAATGGTTTCGAGTTTCCTAAATCTTGTTGTTTAGATCTAATATTAAATCCCAAATTTGGTTGTACTTACTTGGTTATTCATACTGACCAAAATGGAAGTTAATGAAAACAACTTAATTTTGAACTTTTTTTCTAACAAGTGCCAAAATGATTGCTATAGTTTTTGCAGTTTATTCATAATTACAAATGCTGGCAAGTTTCTGGACCTACATAAGTGAATTGTGAACACAAAGAAAGGTTGTCTGCATTTTGACCACGTGGGTGCTACTCTGTCCTTTGCTTCCGATTGTTCTGAACACTGGTAATTTTAAGAATTGTTGCACTTGGCAAATGAGTCTTGCCCTTAAACTTCACTTACACTGCCAAGTGCAAGGGTTTGGTGCTTAGTTAACTTACCCTTATTGCAGTGCTTCTTGTGAATAGCTAACGCTTCTGAACTGGAACTGTACAGTTTGTATTTTAAAGCTTCTGTAAAAGTAAACTATTTGCTTTATTAAAGATATACATTTAATAGGTCATACCTGTTTAAAATATGCACCTTGCTGAAAATGAGCAGCACCTTAAACTGTAACTTCGGTTTGTAAACAAAGATCTTATTACATTAACATGGGATTATTTAACAGTTTGAAAATTGTCAACTGCCTACTTACTGACTCTATCATATAAAAATGAACTTTATGCACAGTCCAATCTTTAAAGGTGCTTTCTCAGGTGATGTCACACAAGAATGTGGTACAGACAATGCCTCAGCAGGGTCTTTGAACCGGTAGTGCAGGTAAACATTGCCAAAATCACAATATTTGAATTTTTAGAGTCAGTAACTCTGATGGTAGTAAGCCAAAAGTAAACTCTGTCCCCTCTGCTGTGACCAAGGCTGTTCAGTCAGTGTGTGTTAACTGTGGCACTGGAATGCCTATGCAGGGTGTGCAAAGCTGCTTTCCCTTACTGGAGAGGAGCACACGTGCAGCTGGCCAGCAGTGCTGACAGTACCCAGGAAGCACATGAACCCATTCTGACTGTGCAAGAATTGACTTGTTTACAGAGCATATCAAGCACAGAGAAAAAGCCTTAATAAACTTGGGCAAAAGCTTCTAAAATAATACCTTGGTTTCTCCCTTACACCTAATGCTGAGTGGTGTGGCAATCCCACCAGTCTTAGGAAAGTTAACATTTTTGTTTGACTAAATCATGGAGCAGCTCTTTTGTCTTTTGTTAGAATATACTACAATTTACAAAGAACATATTTAGTTTATTTAGCACAATTGTTCTGATACAGGATACAAGAGTTTACTGCTTTTATATATGGAACACATGCCCAACTTTGTCATGCTGGAGGCAGGAGTCACCTAGACTAACATTTCCCTTGTTATTATAGAACATTACTCATGAAATGGGCTCTGCTTCCCATAGTGCTGTCTTGACAACCAGGCTATTCCCAGAAGTACACTGAATTGAGTTTTTCAGAGGGAAAAGGGAATGTGATAATTATCATTCTTAAGCTGTGTTAGTTACAGTAACAGGGGAAAAGCTGGCCTAATACTACACTGAAAACTACATTCACATTTTAAACACACAAATACAGATCACTTTTTACCTGCTTTTTTCAAACCCACACCTCCTTGGTTTTCAAAGTAGGATTCTAAACTATTTCTACAGCCTCTGAAAGCAGCACTGCTGACATCCAGGTATTGCTGTCAGTCTACAGGCTTCTGTGTCCTGGGTGGGGTGGCATCAGCAATTGTCGCCAAATAAATGAGGTTCCTGTGCAGGATATGCTGGTACCTGTGAGAGGAGGAAACACGGGGTCCGGGAGACGTTCTTTTCTAGACAACTACTCATTTTTGTACTCGTGTACTCTGATCAGTATTTGCAGTTAGGGAAAAAGAAAGCAAACCAGAATAATAAATCAGAGTTGTTCTCATTGTGAAGGCCGGTATAAGGCACTGAGCTGCACTCGGTAGCCGAGAATGTGCCAGGATGGGAAGGAGGGCACTGAGCTCGCAGCCCGACAGCCGCAGACCGCAGCGGAGCAGCAGTTCAGAGCTGCCCGCCGGGCTGGCCTGAGCAGCCGCAGCGCTCCCCGCAGGTGCCGGAGCGGCAGAGCCGGCGGCTCGGGGTGCACACACGGGCACGGAGGGCAGAGCGGGCCCAGGAGCACCGAGCAAACACCTGACCGAGGCGGCAGGGTCCATCCGTGCTTTATACGTGTCTGAAATGATTCTGGGGAAATCCCTTCCTAAGGCCAGCCGCATCTTCCGGGTGACGGCAGGAAAGCTCCAGGAGCTCCAGCCGCGTTTGGCTCCCGTTGCCCACAGTGGCCCCCAGCGCTCCCCCTGCCCGCCCGTCGCTCACTCACTGCACGCAGTCGGTGGCGCGGCCCTTGTTCTGGTACTCCACGATGCAGCGGATCAGCTGGTCGTTCTCCTCCAGCAGCTGCGGCACAGACACCGTCACCGCCCGCCCCAGCCAGCTCTGCCCCAAGCGGGCCGGCAGGGCTCGGTCCCGGCCCAGCCCCGGCCCCGGCCCCGGCCCCGGCCCAGCCCCGTGTGGCTCACCCGCTGCAGCGTGTCCTGGTTCACCTCGGCCGCCCCGCGCAGCCGCTCGGGCACGAACGCCACGGACATGGCGGCGGCGGCTGAGGGGGGGCGGCCCCACCCCTGGGCCGCGCATGCGCCGCCGGGAGCGCCCCGCGCCCCGCCCCGCCCGCCCCGCGCAACAAAAGAGCGCCGCCGTGCCGCTGGTACTGAACAGTTTATTCTGGTTTAAAATAAAAAAACAGAAAGCCTGGCCGGGCGAGCCGGCCCTACGCAGGGTTGGTGCACCCCCGGCCGCGGCTCCCGGCCCGGGTATTTACAGCTGGAACACCTCAGACAGTAAAGAGTTATTGCAACAGGACAGCACTTGCCTCTACGGTCAAAAATCTCAACGGGTGTTCAGAATCATGACTTGTGGATCCCAAAAGGCAGTTGTTAAACATGCAAAAACATTACTAAACAATATTATCTAACTTCTACGGCTGTCAAATACTTGACCTTAATAAGGAAACCAATTACAAAATACTTCCTTGTAGTGCTATACAAAAGTTATAAAATTAAGATTCTATCAACCACTTTTAAATATTCCAATTTTTCAACAGTGCAGTTTTTCACGTCTTTATCACCACTGAACATTCTGAAGTAAAAAAAAAATAAATCAGCAAATTAGATCAAAGTGATGTAATCTTTGGGTCCCTTTATTCCTGTGGCCTTCATATACATACACAGACACAAATGACCAGGTTTCTATTTCAGCATATCAGAAAGTTGCAACTAGTTATCCAGAATTGGCAAAAAGTCCGTACTGTCATTTGTGACTTCGTGGTCTTAGAACCAGAGTCTCAATGTCTCCAAGCTACGGTCTATCAAAATGCAAACAACTTCAAACACTAAGAATTCTTTAAATTGCTCATGTCTACAGGTATTACAACAAAGTTAACGTTTCAAGAATTGACAAATGGAGACAGACTTTTACCCCAGGCATTCCAGGAGAATCACCAACTCGTGGGCCTGGTCCATTATTAAAAAAAGTTAATATTTCTCACTAAGTAAAATTAATTGCAAATCTTGACATATGAAAATTCCTTTTCTCCTTTTTTTTTTGAAAATATCTCCTTAACTTGGTCAAATCCTGTGATATACCAGAAACTACAAAATCAAACTCTTGCAAGAGCAGTGAAGCGTGTATCCAGTTTTGTGTAATGGAAGAACATTTTCAAAACTTCATTATAGTCCAAATATAAAATCAAACATTTAAGCTTGAAAAGCTGCTAAAGAAAAAGAAACCCAACTAATTCAGTGTTCTTCAGCATATCAACTTTCTGCAATAACAGTATGTTTACCGACTTAAAAATGTTTATTCTTTAAAAAATTAGTTGCTTTTTATACAGCTATACAAAGTTTGTAATGTTTCTTTGGCAATGGGATATAATGGAATTTTACAACTATATAAAAACTTTCCTTTGCCTAAGAAACAGTATTTACTGTGTGTACATATCTGACTGACAAAGCAAGTTTTCTACTGTCCAGCACCCTAGTTGATACAAGAACAACTACCTCAAAAGGGATTTTACAGGATTTCCAAAAACAACCTTCGGTGGGTCAAAACACTCACAGTATCGACGGCCTTCTGCATACCATTGTCCTTACAACTTGAAGCAATTATCAAATACAGTTTAGTAATAAGAAAAATCCTTTCAGTGATGAAAAAATACTTAAAACTCCATCGAAGTACTGCTTATAATTAACTATACATAAGAAATTACTTATCCTTCTGTCTCAAATATATTTAATGCTTACTGTTTTCAAAGATGGCCATTTCTCAAAAGTAACTGCATTACACCCCTTTGAAATTAAATAGTTAAATCCCAGTGCTGGTGACAAGTATACAGCAAATTAACTTCATTCTTTGCAGAGATCAAAACTAATTCTCTGATTCAAGAAGATCTAGACGTTCACCTGGTTTGCAGCTTTCTTGTGGACTACGCAGCAACTTTGTTGTCTTTCTAGAAGGAACAAAAGCACAGTGTGAAAATTCATTTTGCAAAACAAACCCTACAAACTCATCCGGGCAACAGCCCTGGGAGCAGTTGTGCTGTGCTGGCTGTTGCCCATGTCCTGCAGCAGAAAGGAGACCTCAGAGGAGATCAGGGTGGCACCTGGTGAAACCCCCTCAGTCTGGCACTGAGCAGAGCAGCTCATCACTCCAAACACAAAGCACAGCACAAATCCTCAGCCCTTGCACCACCTCCTACTCAACTGGAAAGCAGCAAAACTCTCATTCAGAAATTCAAATTGCTGATCTCCAATCCCTCATTTCCATTCACATTCAGCTACCCAAAGTTTCTTTAAGTGATAGGACTAACTGTTGAAAACTAATCAACTAACAGGTGAGGGATGTCTCACAAAGAAATGTGCTGTGCCATAACTCCCCATTTTTTTCATTTAAAAACATTAGAATTTCTATAAAAAATCAGATATTCTTGTTTGCAAAACTCTAACTGCTCATGCAGTAAACTAGCAGAAGTTGTTCTGTCCCAGTTAGAACTCTAAAAGCCCAGTTTATCTGAATCAATCTGGATAGCTGTCTGATTCTAACCAGTACACCAGCCTTTAAGATTTGTGCCAACTCATTCACAAAGAATTCAAAAGTTTGTTTCACAATGGAAGCGAGTTAAATTATTCCCTCTCATCCTTTATATTTTAAAATATAAATTATGAGAGGGAATAATTTAACTTGCTTAATATAAATATAAAACTTGGAAAAACGCTTGCAACTTACATCTCTAACACTTGCATTCAATCTGTAGAACTTCTTTTCCCTTCTTTTTCTTCTCCTTCCCGATAGTAGATGTCAAATAGCTACTCAGGGCATGTGATGAAAGGCTAACTATACTTCTGGCTATTGATAGTAAAATGGTGCCATGTAACTAAAATTTCAGCATTAATGGACTTTCAAAAAAGTAGCTCAGAGCCCTGCAAAGTAGTACTAGTCCTAGCCAGAAGTTCTAGTTCACCATCAAATCTAAGACCAGGAGATTGTGGGCTCTCCTTTCCCAGAGTGGGCCGGGTCAGAGGAACAACAAGAGCACTTTATTTACCCTATATTCGAAGTCGGCGAACTCGCGGCCGCCGCGGCCCCCTCGGAATCCGCCGCGGAAGCCGCGGGGGGCGGGGAAGGCGCCCCGGCCGCCGGCCCGGCCCCGGCCCCCTCGGAAGCCGATGACGCCCCTGCCCCTGTAGCCGCCGCGGCCGCGGTTGGGGCGCAGGGGGATGCCGAAGGTCTCGGCGTTCAGCCGCCGCTCCTCGGCCCAGGTGGGTCGCCGCTCCCTGCAGCACAGAACCAACGGGGATGGCTTGAAACGCTTGGGAAGGGAGGGACAGCGCCCTCCGAGAGGGCGCAAACCATACAGGAATCGCACGGTAAATCTGCACAGCATCCCTTCCACAAGAACCCAGGCGTCTGCCACAGTTCACTGGGCTCATCGAGAAGGAATATGGTACGGAGTCTTTAATTAGATATTAATAATGCTCTAAGAGTTTGCCATATTGAAAAGCACACTCTGTATCCTCTGCACGCAAGAAACAGTTTGCAGTTACAGATGTTATTTTATCTGGCTGTGAGTACAACCAACAACTCCCCCTCCTGCAAGTCAAAACAGGTCA